ATGTTCTATGTTAAGGTTGTTGGTAATTTTTTCTCCCAATTTTTAAAACTACACAAGAATGCTAGGGAGTTTATAGCAGGTAAAGGCTTTGAAGTGAATTTTGTATTTTTAAGCTGTTACCAGTAGTGTGACAAAATGTCTGCTCCTATGTAACGCTTCTATGCTGTGTTACAAGTGTACACAATTAAATAGTTCCAGTAATAATTATGTGTATCTAAGTAGACAGCCATAGTAGCAACTGTGGTTTAAAGACTTTTTTATGTACCGTAAGCTCTTTTTTCTCTGAGAACTTTTGTTAGTTAGAAAAATATAAATACTATTTAACAATGAATATTTTAAATTAGATATCCATTTTGAAAATCAAAATCTGGAGAAATTAAATACAAGAATAATATTTAGAAAAGAAAAACATTTTAGGGCTTTGAGAAATTATTGGCAATAAGTTTTGATTGGGCTAAGATTTACTATGGCTAGTTAATGTTCCTGAGGAAGTTTTATCACATTTGCTAGCAAATGATAGAATACTGAAATAAGAAAGCATTTAAAGCTCAGTCTATGCTACATGTCAGGTATAATCTTAATCAATAGCATGTAAAATCCTAAAACAGCATATTTGTTTGTATCACTCTTTGTAGGAAAACGTTATACATCATTTAATAGCTAAACATTTCTGTAGTATTTTCTCTTATAATCATAAAAAATCATGTAACTAGGTATCTATTTCCAGTTAAAGTTTGTATGCTTCACAATATCCCATGTTTGTGCTAAAAGCGGCCAAAATTAAGATACAGTTTTAGATCCTCCCGATAAATAAAGTCTAGTTAAGAGCATTACAAACAGTCCATTTTTTATTCTATAAATATATTCTTCAAGATAAGGGTTCTTTCTTTATTTTTATGTAATATTGCTCTTTTATTTTCTGCTTATATGCATTCTGTTTTTATTTTTGGGTCTGGCAACTTAAAAGGAGATAAATCAAATTTTTAAAAAAATTCATGTCCATCCATTACTATCGCTGTGATCCAAGTGCTTGAAATTTCTAAGAGTATGTGTAAGTCTTCTATCTGTTTGGCATTTTGATATACTTGCAGACTTCATTTTGTTTTTTCCTCTAATTCTGTTCATTTATTTAACCTCATGAGAAGAGAACATGATCATACTTTTATATTCTGTACTGCATCCTTCCATCTTATTCATAACCCTGCTGCTTTGAATCATACTTGTTCTGGGAAGAAGGGCTGATAGAAAACACAAACAGTTGTCATATCTACTATAAAATATGTTGGAGGAATGAATTCAAAAAATCGTGCATATAAAAGGATCTGCCTTTTATAACAAGCACAAATACTTGGGAGGTTGATCTATCCATTTATCTTGTAAAAAAAAGCTTGGAATAGAGTTGTTACAATGTCATTTGGAGGATAATTATGATTTAAGCAAACAATAAAGCTAAGCACTTATGTGTCAATGTAATGTGCTGTATAAAAAAGGAATACAATATACAACTTCCATATTACTAAATAGTGTCCTGAAAAGAATCTAAAATATGCTTTGCATTGCTAAATGTCAATTTTTGTAATTAGAAAGACTATGACTTTCCCACTTGTGTTAGCTGGGTTAAATGTATGATCATCTCTGCCTTTTTAACATGTTAGAGTGCTCAGTCTGTAATTTGTGATTACAAGCATCACTGAAGGCAACCTGTTATAGGTTTGATTCAGACAAATGTCAGTGAAAGTCAGAGAGACAAGAGGTGACTTTCTCAGCCATCCTTTCATAAGCAACTCTTCAAGCTCTGAAAAGACACTCTTTTGAAGGCTGGGGGAATCTTGCTGTTTGATTGGGTTAGAGATCATGCTGATGATTGATTAGCTTAAAAAATGGAAGGATCTTGCCAAAACTAAGAGGCTACCATCTGTGAATGTTTTCAAAGAACACGAAAGGAAATCAGTCACCCCTTGTCCATGCCCTGACTGGGGATATTGTTATGGAATCAACCCTGTGTCTTTCAGTGACTATTGAATTTTGAAGTACATATCAAACTTATATGGTTATTTAAATTGAGATTACAAAGCAGCTGGGCAAATGTTGTTTGATTAGTTGTAATTTTAGCTGTATATAAATTCACACTGTATTTCTAATACCATGTGGGCATACTGGAACATTTGTGCTCATTATGATATCATGAGCAATACCTTATGTTTAAGATTCAGCTTGGTTTTTACTTATTGGGTAATTAGAACCACACAAATGTGCCTATCAGCAACTTGTTTATGATGTAATTTATGGGATATTTTATAACTTTTCTAATACATGTAAGAAAATGACTAATCGATGCATTCAAGAACTGCTAAGATGAGGAATGTTGCATCCCTTTGTCAATTGCTGTAACTTTTTGTCTTTCTTTCCAGCTCTCAAAATAGAAGTTAGCTAGAAAGGGAGTCAGTAATCATGAGCTGGGTGAGGGAAGAAAATTGGATTTTTTAAATGTTATATTCCTCATCTCTTTTACTTCTTTCCATATTAATTGGATGGGCCCATGAAAAGAAATGCATGTGTGGCACAATTGCCTATAGCTATGCATCATTAGTAGATTTTTTGTTTACCGTAATTATAACTCCAGAACAATTCACTATGTCTTAGAAGTATAGTGTGATTTTTAGTTTGTACTTTAAATTGTGGTGGTGGATGAAAGGCAGCTGTCAGTTCAGTGAACTACAATTGAAGTGGGTTGCCCCGTTTATAGTAATACATAGATACATCTACTGAATTCTTGCCATGGAAATGCTATTAAACATTGTCTATCAATATCTTTAATAGCTGACAGGAATCCTAGTTCATACAAAATATTTCTAAATATGCTTTATTTAAGTAGATGTAGTTGCACATGTAGATTATTTTCCTTGCTTAAAGAAAGTATGTGCCAGAAAGAGTGTAAACCAATTTTCTTTAAAAATAAAAATAAAACAGTTCTCTGGTATTTGGAATTCCACCAAGAGAAACAAAATGTTTAACGAATCATTATAAAACAATGTTATTTTGCACTGTCAAGGAATATCAAATTGTTTTAGGTCTACTAAAACTATAAAAAATGGGATGGATATTAAAGGGAAATATTTGTATGCTTGACACTGGTGTGCTTTTCTCTTGCTTGCAAAAATACAAGATTGGGGCTTGGAAGTTCCAGCTGTTGAAAAAGCAGAGATTGCATTTTCTTGGGGAAAAAAGGCAATTATGTTTTCTACACAAGAATGTGTTAACCTCTATTTAAACATATTACTCAATAATCCTTTTATGAATTTTGCAAATATTGTTATGATTAAATGTTCTTGACCAAATTGAACTTTTGGGAGGAAAAATTAATGGCAGCTAATGAACAATTCTGAATTAATGGCCCAAATCCTAGGAATATTTATGTGAAATATAAATATTTATTATATTTATGTATGTTCACGCAGACATGGTTAACGTTATGATCAGTTAACATTTCATTTTTTTCTTTATGAAAAGATGAATAGGATCTAAAATAAATTTAGATTACTTATATTTAAAGAAAATGAATGCTATGAAATAAAATAATCAGATACATAGAACGAAGTCACATGCAAGTGTGATATACAGAATTTTAAATTAAAATTTTTCTCAGGGAGCATTTTTTAAAAAAATGGTACTGAAATATATTAACAAGTGTTAATCCCAGACAAAAAACAGTAGTGCTTTCTTCTAGAAAGCCCTAACTAAAGCTGCTTTTGGGGTCTAAGAAAGATTTTCTGTGTCTGAATGTCAAAGTTCCAGGCAAATATAGAAAGGCTTAATGTTGTAGAAGACATGAATTGTGAGTACTTTACTATTCATATAAGTTAGTCCAGGGAATGTAATGTCTCAATATTAAAAATTTCTTCTAATTATCTCAATATTGTAAAAATATATGCAAGTATAGTCAGATGGTATTTCAAATTGTTACATCATCTTTGGAAAGCTTCATTTATTATTTTGTTTTAGTAGGTATTCAATTTTGAAGTGTTCTCTTGCAAATACAAAACATTTGAAGAACTCTGATAACAGTATGCAAAACAGCTTTATACATTGTCCACTCCATTATTATTTTTATATTACCACTTATAGTAAAACAATGGCTTAAAGCTTAAGTATTAGGTGAAATAATAAAATAAATTTGCATTGAAACAGCATCCTTCAAAATTAATTGTACTGTATGTAGAGAATAATTCTAATTTTTTTCCTACATGGGAAAAAAATGACCTGAATTTTGATTGTGGTTCTAGCAAGTTTTTGTTCAGGAATAATTTGCTGTACATATCTGCAGTTTGGAAAGGACAGTACCATGTGTGGGGAAGGGAATTTATTAGATCATGGTTTAGCATTCATATTTCTAAACATATAATTAGAACAGATTTAGATCAAACTAGTGGTTTTTTTTAACCTTGAAGCTAAACACCTAACAGGTTAAAATCATGTGAAAAGTTTATTTTTGTATAATGTTGAGAATTTGATTAAAATCTAATGTTGTAAGAAAACTGTTTGAAAGGAAACAGATCCTGTAAGAACTGAGTAATTGTCAATTTACTATTGTATAGTAAATGCCAATTGTCAATATTGTAGTAATTGTCAACTTTACCATTTGCAAGGATCGGAAAACTGGCCCGAGCTATTTACTGTATATGGTGCAATACCTAGAAACAGTAAAAATCAAAGCTAGCATGAGCTTTAATGTTAATTAACCTCAAACTGATTATTTTACAGACAACATGTTAATTTTTCATTGTTGCCATTGCACATATTAACCATATTTTAGATTTTGTGTGAAGTGCATCCACTTCCCCTTTCCAGATAAATATTTTAGAATTTTCCATTTCATTCCAATCCAAAATATCACCTGGTTTTTCTAATATTTAATATTCATGTCTTTATGATTTATTGTATGCTTCACTGTAAATTGTAATGAATGCCATCTTAGTGGTATTTTTTTCTTCTGTATACAGGCTGGTTTAGCAGGAGCCCCAGCCCGGGCTGTGTCAGCTGTAAAGAATATGAATCTTCCTGAGATCCCAAGAAATATTAATATTGGTGACATCAGTATAAAAGTGCCAAACTTGCCCTCTTTTAAATAATTTGTGCACTCCAGGTAAAAAATGAAAAATTACTAGCTGCTCACAAATGTTTACCAAACCAATGTTTTGTTAATTGAATAAAAGATCAGCATACTCCATAGAAATCTTCTGCAGTAAAACTGTGAAATTGTGTTTTGCTTAGTAAATTTAAAAGAAGTGGTTCTTTTGTGAATTCTAAATAATATTTCAATGTCCTTTTAAAGTATATCAAATGTAAAATATATAATTTTCTGGAAAAGAATTCCGAATATTTATTTACTTTGTATAACCTCTTTTTGTATAGAGTTTAGTCTTAAACTCTATACTGTAACTAGTACAACAATCCTAATCATATTTCTTCGTCTGATGTGTTGCATGACAACATTCAACTGTTGTATTTTCTTTTGCTTTTTGAATAAATTATCATGAATTGTATTGGAAATATTTGTTTAAAATCTGACAATTATTAATAGGATAATTTTTGTCTTAACTAAAATGAAATTATATTTTTTTGCAAAGTACAAGTTTTATTTAAGATTAACCAGCATTCTCCAATGGGGACAGGCAGAATTGCAGCTTTTTCAACATAAATGTGTGTATTTCATATAACATTTTGCTTTGGATATGGAAAGCAGCAAAGAACTATACAAGACTGGAGGGTCTTGGTAGTTATTATTATGCTTGTGTCTTCACTGTTTTCATTTTACACATGTAGCTTAATTCTCTTCCTATTCATGATCTAATGTTTTCTGAATAAGAAGTTGATATAATTTAGATTAATTTTCAAATATCTATTTTTCTTTTCTACATCCATATTCTCTCCAAAATGATTCTTCTCTTTTACTCTGTCTCTTCAGATTCTTCATACGCTCCCTCTCCTCTGGCTTCTACAATTTTGTTTATGTCAGGATTCATCCACAAACATACTCCTTTTGAACATACATTATGCTGCCCTTTATATTCATACTTCTCTTGCTGGTAGACATCTCAGTTGTATTCTTGGCTTCTTTTATAATTGAATCTCAACATGTTGTTTACCACTCTTTATATTTGCTCAAGAGTTTTAAAAAGTTGAATATCCTTAGTGATGAAATTATGTCTGTTTTAATAAATTAAACTGAAGGATCAGATCAGGATTAATTTTAGTCAGTTATAGTGTGATAAAAAAATTCTGCAACTACAAATGTGCAAGATAGAACATCCTTCAAGGTAGTTTTTTTTTCTCTTGAGGATTCTCATAATGTCCAGGAGAGACTGCAGAGGATAGTGAGACTCAATTCTTTCCTTCATATTCCATCAAAAATGTAACTTTAATTACTGGTTTGATTTGTATTCTACTTTTCTGTTCTAATGAGTACTCAATTTACCCAACAAAATATTTTTAAAAAATTGCCTCCCAAGCTGGCGAGCAACCATTTCTGTTGGTACAGCCACTGTATTGTATTTCAGAGGCCTCTAAAAATCCTAATTTATCATTCAGTGGACTGGGATCTGAGTGTCTCTCTGTTGATGCTAGGAGATCTTCCCAGATTACACTTTGTCTGGGTATGTAATTGCCTTATCACCTAGAAAGGAGGGGGGGATTGGGTATGGCTAGAACCTTGGAAGAGGCTGGGAGGCTACAGTTTGGGGGTATAAATGTTTTGTGTTTGTGTGACAGATGATGATTAGGAAAGGATATCAGTGTTCTGATCTGAATGCAGGAACTGGGGTTGGGAATTGGTAAGGAAAGAGCAGGCAGGTTGTGATAGGTAGGAGTAGCTATGGTGAGAAACAAGGTAGGCCATTCTCAGAGATGGTGGGAACACTGAGAGTGATATCAACATCCAGCCATCAATACTTACCACTGGTATCAGGTGACCAAGTCCTTGGTGGTGTTAGGCTCTAGTTACTGCTTGTGAATGCCAAGTCATTTTGCAATCTGCCCTCATTCTGGGGTGCACCTTGGTTTTCTGATTGTCTATGGAGATTCTCAATCATCCAGATCATGGTTATCCCAAAGGTGCTTTTTGAAAAGGCAGCGACCTTCCCAGCACTGTTAACTTCCTGTCCATTCTCCGCAGCTATCCCTCTTTTCCTATCACCGTGTGTTGAGTACCAAACAAACAATGAGTCCTGGACAACATTTTTGCATCAAAATGCACTGAATACCAAATTTGATGAGTTTTGAAGCAGTCACATACTGACGTACCATTTTAATCTGATAGGGTCAGGTGATGAGAACTAGGGATGCTGTGCTATGATAGTTAGACCACAACTTTTTACTGGTTACTAAAAGATAAAGGGAAACATTATGAAAAAAAGCATATCTATGTAAGGGGGTTGGAGTTTAAACCATCTGGAAGGATTTAATCATGCCTCCTCCAAGGGATTCCTGTCTATTTTTTGTAAAACTCGTGAGGCAAAAAGAAAAAAATATCCTTAGTAATGCATATTTTGTAATATACAAATTCCTTCTGCATTACTATTCGGGTGTACAGAAGAGGACACTGGATTTGGCACATGCTACTTTTCAGCCATTACAATTGTTTTAAAATAGTTCCAAATCTATTATTCAGAAATTGATTGTCCTGTGAAACACTGATAATAAACAATCTCAGTTGCAAATTAATAGGTTCATATAACATTTTCAACTGCCTTTTAAACTTGAAGGGAAAAAAAAGTATACAAGTTACCGAATAGTTTTTCTAGCAGCTGGAACTTTCTATGTACTGAACAGGAAATACGTCTTAAATTTCTTCAATTTCATAGCCGGAATCTGTTTCAAATAAAGATTCCTTGCTGAAATTTTCTGCATAATACAGCTTCAGAATAACTTTTATTTTCCTTTTCATGTCTTTATGAAATATAGGCATTCTTCTCAGTACCAGAAAACGGTCTAGTTCAGAGTTATTGAGCAATGTGCATTAAATATTTGGCAGCATGTGAGGCATCATTTTCCATTGGAGTTTCCATCCCCAAGGCTACAATTTAAAATAAGATGACATATTTTTATTTTTACTCTTGCATCACTAACTACACCAGGAATAATCATCAATGAGGAATCAGGGTGGACTAGGTTTTAAATAATGAATATCTCTGAATGCATTTAGTTTGTGTATTTAAAAACTGTTCTTGTTTCTGTGAAACCAGCATTGTGTAATGTTCCAGTATTAAGTCAGTTCCGGGGAATCTGAGATTCCAATCCAGAATCAATTATAGAAGCTAACTAAGGTGGATTTGGGCCCCTCTTCTTCCAATCTATTTTTCAGGGGAGGGGTGTAGAGATGAAATTGGGGCAATACATACTTTCCTTGAGATTGTTTAGAGGTATGAATCCAGTCTTACTTTAATAAAATAATCTCAAATAAGCATTGTTTAATGTGAGGGAATGTGGGCATCAGAAGGGAAGGAGTTGTTGGCCAGTTCAGAGCCTGTGTTTGTGATTTTCATTTAGGCAAAAGATACAGGGAAACAGTTACTGAAGCAATATCATTTAAAAAGGCTAACCTACAGAATGCTGGGACACATGACTCCCATGGGAATGAAATTTGGGGAAGTTGCGGGTCTTCACTTCCAGAAACCTGAGGGTTGGGTGGCACAAGGGAAAATAGAGTTGTATCCCTATCTTCTTTCCTGCCTCCCTCTGGCTGCACACCGAATCAGCTGACTGCATGGCTTGACAGATGAGCAACAATTGGCTGCATTGGAACCGAAGGCTGAAATTTGACCTCTTTAAAGGTGAGGTAAAGCAAGGCTGAGGGAGCGACTTGGATGATTGTGAGGTAGAGGCTGGGGAAGAGGGCATGGCAATCAACAGGTGAGATTCACTATATCCTTAGAAGAAATTTAATGTTAGTCCAAAGAAGCAGAAGCCACCAATACTATCTCAAAGAGCTGCCATCAGTCTTGCGATTCTGAAAGCATTTCTCCCCTCCTTTACTTTTACTTCCCAGAAAATGAGAGAATTCCAAGACTTCCCAAGCTCTTTTCCTCCTATGAGTTTAGTTACCATTTTGCATGATGGCTGCCTAAACTGCAGTTCTTCCTCATGCCTCTGAAAGTTATTTCCGCATAGCATGACAATTTGGAGTTCCATGAGAGATTTGGGGCAAATAATAAAAATAATTTTTAAAAAGTTCAACCCCAAATGCAGCCAGGGGCATTGGAAGCAGTTTTTCTAAGGTATAGCAGAAAGGGCAAAAAAAATGACGGCAACGGCCTTATCTAGGGCAATAGTTATCAAACATTTTTCTCTCAAGTCCTCTTTACATTCTTAAAAAATGATCAAGGATCCCAAAGATGTCTGTTTTATGTAGGTTATGTGCCAATAGGTCACTGTGTAGATCATTGTCAATATCAGAAATTTTAACTGAGCAATTTAAAAAATTTTTTTTTACTTCATGGACCCCCTGAAGGGTTCTCACTAAACCTAACCTCAAGGATCCCCAGACCATATTTTGAGATCAGCTGATCTAGGAAAACATTGTCTATGTGAGTTAATCTTGCCAAAAAAAAACCCCCACACAGCCATTACTTATGCATGCCTGATCTGCCTTTTGCAAAGCCATCCTGTCCCTCCCTTTCTCCTTCCTCTGGGGAAGGTCAACTGAAGGTTTGTGTGGGCAAGGCAGATGTTCTGGCAGCAATTTCTCATCGTCTTTTTTTTTTTTTTTGTTACGGACAGGCAGCAGTTAGTGGCAATTAGCTCAAGTTTTGTTTATTGGCAATTTTCAGTCACTAGAGTTTTGCCTTTTGATGAGGGAGGGGCAGAATTTTTTATTTTTGAGCTAGCTTGTTTCCATGGCCTGAACAAGTTTAAAAACTGTTCTAATTCACTTTAGTTTGCTAACATACTACATCAAGCCAAAACATGATTTACCTAGAAAACATTAAACTGAGCAAATAGCTGTTAGTAACAGACTCCTTGAGCTTTTGGTAAATGACAGTTGTGAATAACCTTCAAAAGGTTATTCTGCCCTGCAAAAGTGCAGTGCTCAACATTCAGACTTTTTGGCTGTAAACTTCTGGCAGCAAACTGGTTTTCAAATAAATGTGTTTGCCAAAAAGATTTATAACAAATATTGCAGGACCTGTAAGAAAAAAAAAGGCAACTGCTGGAAAGGAGTATGGAACAAAAATTGAAAGGAGCAGTCCCATCACCAACAAAACAGGGCAGCTAATATTAATGTTAAATTTTAAAATTTGAGAGAGTATTAATCCCAGTGAGATGGAATAGGCTGCTTTGAAGAAAGTATTATGTGGATTCTGTAGCAATGATTATTATGGGCTTATATTTAGGAAGCAAGTAACAGCTTCTGCCATCCATTTCTTTTTAAGAATTCACGTTTATATTTCAAGTGAAGACTTGAATGGTTTAACAGCTTAATTATACAGAAGGGTAATTTCCCTTTGGTCATGTGTATTGGTGATTTCCCAGGCACATTTGTGGTTTT